TTTGGTTCGAGTCCCTTCTTCCAGTGCAGGCTCACCTTTTTTCCAAAAGCTTCCCCCATTCCTAATGTGCCCAAACGCCGCCTTGCCTCGCTTCACCTTGCACCCAGGCTCTGCCCTTCTGACCCTGCCCTTTGCATGAAGAGTATGTCAGAGAAAGCTACCATGAAAGCTCTGGTCTCTTACCTTCTTATTTCTGAGCACGTATTGACTGCTTGTTCCTCTTCTAAACGGGATACGTTTTCTGATGTCAGCAGAACTTCGGCTGAAGAAAACAAAGTCTCGAGGCTTGTTCCGTAGTCTGTAACACCAGGCAGTGCGCGCTCTGTTAGCGCTTCTTTTCAATAAGCACGGGCTCATCTTAAGAGTGCTAGCCTGCCCTCTTCCTGTCCTTGAAGTGTGCCCTTTCTGTGGAGACAAAATAAATCCTCTCTGTGTGAGGCAGTGCACCTGTGCAGTGATAACCTACGCGCACTTCTCTGGAGCCGCCTCTGTGTGTGTGTAGGCACGCTGCCTGAGAACTTGTAACTGCACTGATAAATTGTAGCACTGATCCATTTAAAAAAGCAGTTCTGGTGCTGTATCACCTGCAGTGTATTTCAGCTGCCCCTTGAATGTGAGGAATGTAATTATAGTCTTCGCAAAAACGGTCTGCGTAATTCTTGCATATTTTTCTCCCAGATCGCAGCAACTTCATCGGGGTACAGAGTTAGGATCACATACGGCTCGCTATCTCAAACCAACGTTTTGTCGGTCGGCTTTATAGATTGACATTAACGCTCTCAAATATCTTTTCATGTAGGTTCATTTCTAATAAGTACTTGGTGAAGCAGCAGAACAGAGACTATGATGTGGAGTGGGGGTACGCCTTTGATGTTCATCTGAATGCTTTCTATCCACTTCTAGTCATTTTGCATTTTATCCAGCTGTTTTTCATCAACTGTAAGTAGAATATTTTGTGCTCTCTGCTTCAAAATCATGCTCTACCAAAACAGCTGAGAGCAGCTGTCTCTTTCAGATGTCATCATATCTGATTCTGTCATTGGGTATTTTGTTGGGAATACGTTATGGCTGATTGCAATCGGCTATTACGTCTATGTGACATTCCTAGGATACAGCGGTAAGTAACGGCAACTTCTTTTCTATTTGTTCGACTAAAAACAAGAGCACGATTTTAGTCTATTAATTTGGTCTTGGTCTATTAATTTGTAAAGCAGAGACTCAGAAAGTAATTCTTTCTTCGTGGTAAAGGCAGTTTGATAGGAGTTTACCAATCCGTGTTTCCGGCTGGGTGGACATCTTAACCAAAGAACTTACATTTTGGTATTAGACCTGTAGCACCGCTTGTTCCTCTAAATCCACTTCTAATTGTTTGCACTGGATAAAAATTCTGTCGGGAGTTTGCGACTATAGTTTTAAGTAAAGGAGTTTCCCCAGGGCATTACCTATACCAGTGAACTCAGGTACTCTTCAATCTGTGCTAACGGTAGGAGTAGCAGGGCGGAGATGACAAACCTGCCCTTGGAAGGCGGCTGGCGGAGCAGTACTCTTGCTTTTTTTTTTCCCCCCTTGCTGCCCTTCCCCAAGGCCCTTCTACATGAAGCACCTTTTTTGAAAGAGCACGACTTTATACTTGCTCCGTTGTTGCTTCTGTTTCAGCACTGCCCTTTTTGAAGAACACAGCTATCCTTTTGTATCCGTTTGCACTTCTCATCATGCTCTATTTGATCTCATTAGCATGTGGATGGAACTTCACCAAGATGCTTTGTTCCTTTTATAAATACAGAGTGAAATAAAACCAGGACTTCATGTATCTGATGTTTATTTTGTTTTTATCTTAGATGCCTTGACAGTAAAGAAAAAGTTAAGAACATTTTGTAAATGGTTGTAAATTTCTCTTTATTGTAGATAATTGTAAAAAAAGTTTGAAGTGTCCTTTTTTTTATTAAAATATTTACACCAGTAAACATGTTAGCAATTTTGTTCAAATACTTTTGCAGTACATTCCTAAAGACAAGTTACTTGTACATCTCTGTAGCTTAAATTTAACTGCAACAAGTCTATTTAGCGTAACTCTTACCGCAGATATTTTGCATGTACTGGCATAAGCTCTATATTACGAGGGTTTCAAGTGACACCGAAAAGCAGTTTTATTGAAGAATAATATCGGAATACCTTGCCTTGGGACTGCGTGAAAGTAGGGATCTTAATCGTGTTGCAACGGTAAAGCAACAACTGTCTCTAGATACAGAACTGTCCCCTCCTTTCATGAAAGAACTTGAGAACAGATTTATTTTAATGACTACGTCAAATACACATGGACAACTCTGGCACACAGAAGAAACAGTGATGAAAGGCACAATTAACATGACCCATATCAGGTTTTCAGATATAGCAGCAAGTTTTTAAACCCAATCGCTAGAAGCCCAGTGGGTATTATTACATCCACCGTTATGAGTGGCAGGTCGATGAACGTGGAAGGCAAGTACAAGTTTAGTTTGGCTATATGGGTGGGCTCGTGGCAATCCCTACAGCTGTGAAGTCCACAAGGCAGGAGTATAAACTAACCGTCACAAACAATACCTTCTGGAAAAAGATGACAATTTCCCAAAGCAGAGTGCTTGGTATGAAACGTGAGCACTAGGATTCAGTTTCCAAAGCAACGCAAGAGTAAGCTGGTTACAGCGAGACTTAATATTTCCATACTAGAATTTGATCTCTAAGGAAAAACTGTATTTGCCTTAAAATACCAAATATGCTGGCAGTGCATCTTACAGTACTGTGTGTTTCAGCCACTGTTAAGGCTTGAAGAGATTCTTGTTCCCCTCTCAGCAGACACTGAGCAACGTTCCCCTTTTAACAAGGAAAGCACTGAACTGCTGATCCATGGAAGGCGAAGGATTCCAGTCAGGACCTGCTCCCACCCTGGCTAACAGCACGAGCTCCCGTCCTGCAGGCAGCTGCAGCCTAGCTGTACAACTTCTCCCCAACAGGAATCCTAGCACCGGCGATCACCTGCTTCGGTTCAACAGTAAAAATACCTCATATTTAGTGCCCTGTGGTGTGATACCACTGAAATCAATGAAGGACTCGGGGCCCGTGTACCTTCCCTTTAGAGAGATCAAAGTTTGTTCCCTTGAAAGAAGGCTTCATCAAAGTTCTCAAAATGAAGCTACTTTAAGTTCTAGCTGCTCGCTCTTTATAGCAGGAATCAGCAAAACCATTAAGAGACCACTAAGGTCAGAAAAGTGACACTCTCAGAGACTAATTTATCAGGTCAGCGTGGGGTGCGTTTTTTACGTCGGCAATCAATGCTAGTCTGAAAACACCAGTTGTTTAGTAGCCTTTCAGCATTATGCTGGTGATTGTAAAGATGTGAAAACATAAGGGTTTTTTTCCCTTTCTACTACAGTTACTCGCTTGAGCTTTTTCAGAATACATCCTTCCTAGTAAGAACAAACACAGAACCCAGCGTTAATTTATTTCAGGGGAGCAAGGTTTGAAGAGATTTGATTCTTTCCACCCCCAAGACTAAAATAGTATTTTCCAAGGTGGAAGCAAACTACAAATTACTACAATACTTCATCTGGAGCAAATATTTCAAACAACCTCCCCCGAGATTACTGAAATGATCATATACTTGGAAAAAAATGAAGGAAAAGTGTTACACGGTGGTTCAATTTTGCCAAAGACTAATCGCACTCCAGCCCATTCAAGGAATTGTGTATCACATGGGCAAAGTATAAATTGCTTTGCTCTAAACCGACTCACGGTATTTAAAAGCTGCTTGTGAAAGAGCTAGGCAAGCAGCGATACGACAGAAGAGTCCAGTCTTTTATTGGTCCACAAATCACGTGTTTAGCTGTTTGAATTTTTCTAAGCCATCTTTCAGTTAAGAAACAAACAAATGTATCTATATGAATATTTTCTATCAATGCACATAAATGGTTGAGATGCCTGCAAAAGCGCAAAGCCTTATACAGCAGCGCTTTAGAAACGCTCTTTAACCAGAAGAATAAAAAGTGCTAATTCGGGATCACATCCTGTTCACATTGTTTGCAAAGTTTTCAGTAGGACCACCCACTGAATGAGCAAAGCAAGATTATCCCGACGGTCTTGTATTTCCTTGCTCCAGAGCAATCCCGATCAGCTCAGAAAAGCCAGTGCTCCTATCAGCCGGTCTGTTTGGCATCCAGTATAAGAAGTTAAGAATAATTTGCCCAGATAATGAAGGTTTCTGGCAATGCCTTTGGTGTTACAAAAGTTCTCTCTTCTGAAGCTTTAACAGCATCAGAAGGAGCTAACAGGATCGTAAGATAACCCAGTATATTTTGAAACACTTTTCGTTATTTGATTACTGTAAGATTCAGTGGCCTAGAGGGGATTTTTAAGGCCACAACAAAAATAACTTGAAATTAAACAAACGTCGGAAAAAATGCCAAAAATCAGGTAACAGGTTTAAGATGCCGCAAGGAACTCTTGTGGTAATAACTGCAACTTACAGCTGAGACGTGTGAAAGACACAAGCCCTGAGTATATATACCCAGTCATAAACAGTGGCCGAGCTCACGACTGTTGAGCCAAACAGCCGAAGCAGTCCTGCTTCACTGTAATTCCAGGAAGGAGGCTTGCGCCACTTTAGCCTGACTTGGGGATTGGAATTTGAAAGGTAGAAAGCTCAAAATAGCTGTCTGCAGAGATAATCAGATAGGAAATATTTTCGCTGCTTTTTCTATTTCTCAGCAAAATCTCCAAGCAAATTTGCAGTACTGTCTGATCACACCAGGTCTGAATTTACCTGAATCTACAAAATGTAATTTGTATCAATGTGGCACATTTATTTAGAGAGCATATAAGCTCTGGATCATTTAAAGTGTTAAAGCGGCCCAGAGTATTTCCAACTCCTGCTAGTACAATGTAATAAAAAGGCAACAATCTTTAGGAACAGACACACACACACCCCCACCCCACCCCACCCCATATTTTAGCAAGCACTAGTTAATTTGTTGTCTTTGATAAATTTCTTCTCAACATTTTTGAAAACTAAATATACTGGTAACACCAGAGTCCTGCGATCAATCTGGTAAGGGTTCTATATATTTAGATATATTAGCAATGATTCATCTTAACCACTGTGAAACATCGGGAACAGTGATGCTTGAGAATAAGCTCACGGCGTTCTTCGTAAGTGGTACCAGTAAACTTTCGAACTCGTGGAAAAAGATGAAAGTCACTGTCAGCAAAACTACTTATATTAAGAAACTGTAATACCTAACGTACTTCTGCAATCTACATTGTAACAAATAGCTATAGTTTAAATCACTTGCATCGTTCATTCACAGGCACAGCTGAGAAGAAAACCTAAATACTTTCTTCGGCCTTTCCTAGCTAACGTGCGATGAACAGCCATTGCATGGCACTAATTTGGTGGCACGGCATTATACACGTAACCAACTGGGCTGTGGCGCCACAACAGGCTAGATTCACACAGGATTCTGAGCTCACGCACCCACGTCCCTACATCCAAGAATAAACTCCATTTACGAGGCCGGTGCTTAGCTTATGCCCACAGTCCCTGTGGGCCAGACGAGCTTTCCAAGTAACACTTTATTTACACCATCTGATGCAATCAGAAAAAAGTAAACACAGCCTGCCTGGTAGCTTTCTACTTTTCTCCAACTTACACCAGTCAGTCTAAACAGAAGGTCTTATCTCTGCGTACAGATCTTGTCTTCCCTGTGTCCTCAGGCAACACAGCTAGAACAAAACGACTATGGTCTGTAGAAGCAGTTAAGCTCTTAAACTTGAATATTGCTGAACTGTCAAAGCTACGACACAATTTTCCAACAAGGCAGAAGAAAGGACAGGTTGACTCTATATCCCAGTGGCGATGGCTTTCAGCTTGCGGTGCCAGAGAGTCGGGTTTAGGCTCCTGCTCCTTATAAATATATGTCATGAAAAAGAGGCTAAATCTATTAGTAGAACTTTCATGCTGGAGATATGAATTCCAGATCCCTGCTCTAGGTCAGGGATCCCGCAACAGGTTTTGCGCATCTCTGCCCTGACCGCAAAGATGTTGGGGATAACGGAGTCTTTTTTTTCCACAGGGAAAACTGGGCCAGCTTTCGAGAGGTCAGTTCCAGGAGGTCGGTTTGCAGCACAGCTGAGAATCCCCAAGCCAGGGCAGATGCCTCCCTCCAGTGTCAATCAGGCACTTCTTTCCTATTAAAGAGAGGAATTTCTGCCCCTCCTCCTCCTGACCATTTCTGACTGGGTGACTTAACTCTCCCCATACCTGTGTCCTTACACGTAAGCACCTAAGCAGAAGGACTCTTAAGAGCAGTGGCAGCGTTAGTACTGCAACAATCCCACTCTCTGGGTTTAATCCAAACCACTTTCCGTTCCTGATCGAGTTTCCGATTCTTTTAAGATCACTGTTGTTTCCCTTGAAACGCAAAGGCAGGGTACTAACCTGAGGCCAAATTCAGTTCCCATTAAAAGTTAGTGCGAGTTACTACGCTGATCAGTAAAGGAGTCAAACTGAAACCTTGTTCTTGAGCAATGGAAGAAAATAAAAAATAAACCATAACTACTCACTGTAATGTATCTAAAATAAACACTGCAATAACGGAACTTTTTAGAAGACGACCTCTGTAGATCAAAAGTATCTAATTACTATTAATTCTTTCGATAAAAGGTAACCTCTGTCACTCCAAAGCAAAGCTGGAGAATGATTTTTTTTCAGTACAGAAAATGAATTTGTCCAGGCTAGGAAATGTCTACAAAGATTTTTAGAAAGAACTGTTTGGAATTGAAAAAATTCTTCTAAAATGCAATGGATTCAGTCTAAAATCACTGCAGATTTAGTACATAATATGAAACAAGACATTTCAGCATGCTTTTTATGCGGCTACAAACTGTACATAGTGGAATTTCATAGCCCCAAAGAATAATGCTCTTCAGAACTCTGTTAATGCCTCTGAACATCATTCAGATTCTGTGTACAAAACTACATAATTTAGAAACTTAATCTAGGTTTTTTTCAACATGGCAGTATATTTGAAATATGGTATTAATTTATGTTTGCATCTCCAAAGAAACATGTAGAAAGATAACTTAAACTAGAGAATTTATAAAAAAACCTATATCAATTTAAAATTTTACTGCATAAAAATAGGTACTTTTCAAATTATTTTAATAAATTAAATATCCCTAACATTTTTAATATATATCCCTGACAGTCTATAAAAGAGGGTTCTCGTTATAGAAAATAAATGGAACTCCGAAAGTACCCCCTTCATAAAACATATTTAACAATAATTATATTTTTCTTCTTCTTCAAGGAATGTAACAATATGTACAACTTCTCTATATTACTATACTATCAAAATAGTACAGGTTAAGCGTAGCAGGGTTCTGTAACCATAAGATGGTAAAGTCACATTAAAGTGGAGGACAACTTAGGCCTCAGACGAACGTCATCAGTGTGGAGCATCAGTTTCTGGATGGATCAGATAAGAAGGGGTAAATACAATCTTCTCATCTACAGTAGATTTCACAAGAGGTAGAGTTCAAGTGAAAATGAAAGAAATTTGGAATAAGGTGCATGCTCAGTATTTTCAATTCGTGACTTGCTAAGGATGTCAGATTTTATAGGAAAAGTTTTCAAGGATTCTTTCTTTTTCCTCTAAAGCAGGTTTCCATGATCAGTTTGTAATCTTTTTAATATGAATCTGAAATAGAGAATCAGAAAAAACAGAAGTCACGGTTTAGGGTATTACATTTCTCAGTAATAAGAGGGAACCATTTTCAGCATTAGCCAAAATGTTGAGCTTCAACACACTGACAGAGTGAAGAAATCTCACATTTGCCGGTTTTATTTTTAAAAGGCTATACCACCTCTCACCTCATTCAGAATTGCCCAAACTGCTGAATTTTGTATCACTGAAAGCCGGAACGATGAAATAGGGTTTAGGCTGGGGTCAACTGTTCCTTCAGCTACACCGTTTTCAAATTTCCCTGCAAAAGAAGCAGAAGTATATCCTCAATTAGCTCCTGTTCAAAGAAGTAAAGTACGAAATCTGTGGCCAGAAAAATCTATCTGTGGTATCACAATTCACAGGTGAAACCTGTTGCTGGTGGCTGTAAGGTCGATTGGGGTCATTCCCGAAACAAGAGACAGCCAGTGATTTTTCATATCCGATTCAGCTTTGCAGCAGCAAACAAGAGGGGGCGTATCGTCAGAGCACACGGGATTACATGTAAGAACAAAAACTTTGGAACTGTCTAAGGGTATGAGCACCTCAAACTCTGGGAAGATTTTGGCACAGATTTTCATTTAATATCGTGGAAGTAAACATGGAGCCCCTGGCTTATGTGTTTTCAAGGAGGATTAAGGACAAGGGATATCATTCCCGCTTAATGTATTCCTATTTAAAGGACCTTCAAATATATGAGAATGAGTAAGAATCCAATTTAAAAGCCCCGTTAGACTTTACACTTAAAACATATACACAGCAGCTGCAATTCATTAAGCTGATAAAAACCTGCTTTTGTTATAACAGGGATGCCCGACCTATGTCCAGCAAGCTAAATGCAATCCACGAGTAAAATTTCTCTTCCTTGACAGCAGGTATCCTGGCGCCTTCCCCAACAGCCGCTTGGCTGTGGAAATGCCAAGCTCAGCCCGTGACGAGGCAGCTGACTGTCTGTAAGGGGGGTTCAAATCCAGGCCAAGCGCCACAGCTCCCGCAGAGGCACTCATGCAGTCACGGGACAGAAGGGGTGATCTGACACAACCTGGAAATGCCTCTACAATAATCTCGGCGATAGATCCTGGCAGAGAAGTTGGATGTAGCTGCACTACAACTAAGAGTCACACTAGATCTTTCTTTCGTACATCAGTCTCAGAAAAGAAATATTGGAAACAATATTAAGTAAAGCCTACAAGGTCACGTACCCAAAAATGAATGATCAAAACTCAGTTTTAGGTTTGTTTTGGTTTTGATGAAAACGTCTAAACTGTTGCAATAGTAACAATACACATTTCTTTCTACTGTGACATACCTATCCTGAAGTAACCATCCTCTAAGCGTTTGTCTTTGGTTTCTGTGCTTAATACCAGTTCTTCATTCTACAACAACAAAGCGCAAATGAGATCATTTATTTTGACATAGGACTTTGCCAGGGAAAGACAAATGTGCGGGCACTCTTGTTATATATTCAGCATCCATCTTTTCTAAATAGTTATGAACCAGCCTAGAATAGTTAGTTATAGCCTTAGACAAGCCAATACAAAAAAAAAAAAAAGCAGCGGTGTTCCAGAACTGAACGGTATTTGGCTTCAAAGTAGAAAAAAGAAGTACTTTAAGTGCCCCACGTAACTTGCACGTTAACTGAACACGTGAACAGAACACATAGCAGACACTGGCATACACAGCAGAAGAAAAGCAAAGGCAGGATCTTGCCGCCTTTTCCTATGGTTGAACGAGAGATTTCTCTCAGGACAAATGAAACTTACAGCTTACTTTTTGATGTAAGGATTTGGGTGAGATGAAAAGCCATCAGACCAGTGAGGGAAGCATTGCAATTATCACTGCCTCACTAAAAACGGATGGGTATCAGTAAGTTTCTTTAATAAGCATGGAAAAATGAGATTGTAGATCAGAGCTTCAAAAACAGCTGGAAAATTACAACTAGAATCACATGATCCAATACTAAAAGACCCACTGTAGGAATTTCCTAGGAATCAATTAAAAATGCTTAACAAAACAGGAGATTAAATCCATCAGCCTTTTTTTTTTTTTAATTCCTACTTTTAAGGGAGGCTGCTGAAAAAGTAGTGGGTTTTTTCGGGTTTGGGTTTTTTGGGGGGGGTTGGGGTTTTTTTTGTTGGTTTGTTTTGGTTTGGGTTTTTTTGGTTGGTTGGTTTTTTGAGTGAGTTGCTTGAGTCCCAGACAACTCCAGTCTGGGGACACTCTGGTTTCTTAGGGCTGTTTTTTCTTTTTCTGAATTCTGCTTAGGGAGGATCAGGGTCGAAATACTTGAACGGGCTTCCAGCTCTACTGAAGTCCACGGTGGAGAAATCGTTCCCTCAGGACAGCACCTATCACTCTGCAGCTGCTGTCCTCATATCGGTGACATTTTCTGCTGACACCAGTGGCTTAGGAACAGGCCAGATGCAGAATTTCCTGTTTACCTTTCCACAAATTGTGTCAATCGCAGTGGAAGCTCGGTAGCATTACTTCCTTAAGCGATGCTCCAGTTTGAGGGACATTTCACAGCCAAGTGTAGCCCCAAAAAGAGATGCTCGATGCACATTTTTTCTCACTCTCTTGTGCATTCTTGTGGTATCTCGGGCCCAGATGAAGTAAGGGCTGCTGCTGGTTTTGTGGTTGAATATATTTCCAAAGGTCTTGAGAAACAAACCCCACAGATCTTATAATATGATATAATATCCCACATACCGTGTTGTATAATTAGAACCAAACTGACAAACTTCTTTTTAGGGGTGAGGGTGGTTAGAAATTCCTATTTTTGCTCACTCCCAGGAAGGCAGACTGCAAGAATGGAGAAGTGAACTCCTCCATGATAATTTACTTTTTTTTTTTACACCAAAAAAAAAGAAAGAAAAAGAAAAAAGATAAAAGAGGTTCAGCATATGGTAATTTAGGCACAGATTTCAAGATACCTACACCAGGTGTATGGGAGAAGATAGAAATACTTTGCTATTTTAATACTAAATAAAATAAACTCGACTGAAGTAGTATCTTAATCCTCTGACACAGTTTTGTGATATAAATGGTTAGCTATAATACCTAGTTGAAGAAAAAGAACCCATACCATCTGGCTTCAAGCAAGAATATACTTTAGATAGCGTAGTGCCCTCTTGAGATAAAACTCAGACCGATTTATGGAAAAAAAAATCAGTAATCAGGAGAAAGGAACACATTTGGTTTAACAGTCCAGATATTTCAGTATCTAGTAGGGTTTGGATGTGTGTCAATTCCTGAACCAAGACTTTTTTACTACATCAAAAAGCAGATTGCCTCAGCTTTCCCATTTTCCAAAATACACAGGAGAGGGAATATTGATTATTTCTCTGTTTTAAACAGTAGCAGTGAACTGGAAGAAAATCAGCTTGTTCACCTCCAAATTACCAACAGCACTCGTAGCAGACTGCACTCTGAATGAACATCTGAATAGTTACAGAAGTTTTCTGTTAATAGATCCAATTAAAAAAAGAAAAAGTATGACAGCATCAGAGCATCAAGATCCTACAGTTAAAAAAGAAGCATTCATGTCTCCCTCACCCAGTTAAAAAAGTCAGTAAAATTAGGAGGTTTGGCTTTTATCCTATAATGGAGGAGACCCAAATCAATAAATTCATACCTGAAAAGGCAAAACTTCCACAGTTGTGTTTAGAAGTATGTCTCCTGGATGCTCTGGATTGCCACTGTGAAACAAGTACCTAATAAATGAAAAGGGAAAAATAAAACAGTCTGCATACATCAGTCAGAATTAGCTAAGTTACCATCTTACACGTTAATAGTCACATTACGGATGTTACAATGATAAATGTAACTTTTACACTGGAGCTACATCAGCTGGTGATAAGAAAGGAAAGATGGTTTCACATACTACCGTAATTGAAAGGGCTAAACTTTTGCATTTTTAGGAGTAGTTGGGCAATATTTTGCTTGGAAAGGTACTTTCCGTAATCTGATCTTGACAGACTGCATTATACAAAGTGACCAACGCTGTAGTCGTCATTGCCTGGCCCGCACTGCTATCACCTCCAGAAGCAGGAGCCCTGCCTTCCCTCAGCCTCTGGCTCCCCACCACGCGCCACCCCCTCCTTGTGCCCACAGGATGAACTCTGCAGATCCATTCTGAACCAGTTCTGGGAACTTACCCAAGTCGACATTTTGCCAGGCCAGTTTTCCCCAAGACCAGCTCTCCACTCTGGTTTATTGCAGAGTCTCATTAATGACTGTGCCAGGAATTCCCAACCCATATCCACAAGCTTAACGTTACCTGAATTCAAACTTCTATTCCAAAGACAAATTTATTTTTTTTTAAACAAAAGCATATCTTTTTGATGTGGATACACACACAGAAAAGGACCTTTTTTTTTTTGATACCTGTACAAAGTCCCCATTACCCTCATTCAGTTGTGCATTTAATGAAATTTCTCTCTTTTGTTTGTTTTTTTTTAATGGGACAGAGTAAATATGTTTAAAACTGTATCAAACCCATCCCCATACACATCAAGCAATGAAGTGCAAGCGTTCGAATTCTAGCTGCCCGCTCTCAAACAGTTTTTGCAGTACTACACGTGTAGATAATGTTACAAAAGACACAGTTTAATTCCCTTTTCTTTATATATAAGACAAACCTCATATTCTTTTGAATACATATTATGTAAACAAGTAACAATATTTTTTACCACTAGGTGGTATCAATGCTTGAAAAATTCTTCATTTCTTACCATTTTTTCTAGTGGACCACAGAGTTTATTCAGATTACTGTCAAAAACTACCTAGATATTACACCTACTCAGATGCCACTTTTAACAAGCCTATTTTACTTTTAATACATTTAAATGAATATGTAAAAATCTGTCAACACATTTCAAACCTTTCTTCAATTGAAAATTAACAGTAAGCACCGTCTTCGACATTTAATACATCACCAGCCAGGGACAAAATTAGTTCAGAAATTATCGCTTGATTAAAATTACAAACACTAGCTCAATTTGCAATTTATTAAGACATAATTGGAGATGTAAATTCCAGTTTGTCTTTACCCAATATGTCTCAATCCAGGTTAAGTACTTGCCGTTAATCCATACTCCATAGCTACAAGACAAGAAATAGAAGAAAACAGAGCGCTCTGACCCTGACTTAGAAATGTATGTGATGATCTCAAAATGATAGAAGTAATTAAAAAAAATATACACACACACATCTATATAACATTTCTTTTATCAAGGCTCAGAAAAGGAGTAAAACCACACACTCTGATATAAGAAAGCTACATTGATTTCTATTGCAGAAATCATCTCAGCAGAACTGCACAGATTGAACTGCAAAACAAAACTTGATCCAGTAAGCTTCAGCGTTGCATGTGCTTCAAGAAAAATAATTCCCCCACCGTAGTTTAATGTAAAGGTTAGCTAATTCTAAAGTACACAAGCTACCTAAAACATCCACAGTTCTTCCAAGAAAAATCTTGTGACTTTTTCTAAACATTAGTGCCATCCAAAAAAACCCAAAGACTTAACTATCCTTTCTAGGAAGATGCCTTTATTGTACATTTCAGTAACAAGCAAAACAAAACTCTTGGCAAAGCCGACCAGAAGACTAAAAGTGTATTCTGCTGTCTTCTGACCTAGCAGATCTAACTTGCCATCCTTTAGTCTGTCAGATATCCTAATTGTTACTGGGAATTGTTCTCTTAGAAACACTGAAAATTCTAAGGAGACTTATTTTAAAATGCAAGTGATCAAACACTCACTTCTAAGGTGCTGCCATCAAACGCTCCAACCAAACCACAGGCAGTGCTTTTTCTTAGTGCTTTCTAGTCCACGAATCTGATTTCTGAGAAGACACACCTAAAAAGCCACAAAGAAACTCTTCATGATCTGTGAACACTGTGCTCTCAGTGAACCATGATGGGTTTAGGATGTTTGGGGGTGCAGGCAGGGGGGAGGTGATGGTGGTGGGTTGATTTCTTGTTTGTTTGTCAGGGGTTTTAGTTTTTTGGGTGTTTTCTTTTGGGGGGGGAGTGGGATGGGGTATTTATTTATTTGGGCTTTGTTTGTTTTTAAAAACAACCCTGCACCCATACAACCATAGCCAACCATTTCTCCTACTGTGCTATCAGCTTTTGACACTGAAGTGTGGTTTCCTCCCGCCAGCAGTTATCAACTCCATTAGGGCAATGCACTCAAAAGTTGGCACAATGCCAAAACAATTTACAGAAGTAATTAATAAAATCTGATTTCCTGATTTCCATGTAATCAAACCTGCTTTTTTAGTACATTTTCCATAACTATCTGTCTACCCATATGCACACGCATATATAACATATGCATATGTTACATCTTATTTAAAATTATGTTTAGAAAGGGTTATTTTTATGTCTCAGCCTTGCTTGAACACTTGACAGATAACACCTACTTAGACTGAAAAAGTTACACAGACTAAAAATAGAAGTATGAGTATACACACACAGTTCCCATCTATGATGAATCTTTTGCTTAGAAATAAAATTTACAAATTAAAAAAAATATTTGAAATAAAATTTAATTTACAAATAAACAGATATTCTACAGGTCCTAAAAGAAGTGCCATTAGGTGTTCTTTTGTAAAACTTGCCTCCCCAGCATACTGAAAATCACAAGTTTTCAAGGTTTTCAGACTATGAAAGATTTTTCTGGATAAGGGGACTGAAAGACACGGAAGTAGCTGTGCTTTTGGCTAAGTTATTCTGACATCTGTCCTGGGATTTACAGGTGACAGTCCATGTAAAGACTAAAAACATAATTTCTTTTTTTTTTCCCTCCTAGATAACTGATATTTTTCATAGGATGGAATCACTAAGATATTCTTGTCTACCTGCTGCTTAAACATAACACCTTCTGAACCATTCTTTCACATTAAAATTCTGAAAGCCGTAGACCTCTAAATACAGTAATCCCAAACAAATACAAATTCACCTAAAGTTAAAAAAAAAATACTACTATTACTTCACAGCTTTATTACAAAATACAAACATGGACACATTTGGACATACTTGACAGAAGTCATCGGAGAAAAGTAACTCTAACTTATAACTGGTCAATGAAATACTAATGTAACTGAACCTTAGAGAACCTTTTCCTCTGGCAGTATCTTCTTAAAGATGCACAGATCAAAGATAATAACTAGCTACCGTAGATATTCAAAACCAGAGACAGCCGCCCTATGCCAGCTACTAGGAAGAAAATTAACACTACCCCAGCCGAACCCAGGACACCCCCCCATGCCAGAAGTTACTACATGTATGAACTAACTTGCATACATTCTGGTCGTTACCTCAGTGTAGTATGAGTAGAATAGAGGATGCTAGACATTAACATCTCACGTGGCCAAAAAAAATTACATGATAAAAATTAAAGAGCACTGAAGGTTTAAAAAACAAAGAACAAAATGGAGCAAAGTCGAAGTCGCAAAGAAAACTTCAGTTGTCACGTTCAGCGACTTGAGTATTTACTCAAATTGAGGGTTTGACTTCTTCCTACGAGCTAGGTATCACCTATAAAATCAAGTCAACTAGAGAGAAAAAAAACCCACAAAAACCAATAAGCTGAAACAAGTATTCATACACATCGTAACACAGAAAGGGAGAAGAGGGCAGAAGCATGATTATCATCAATACACTGATGAAAGATACCACTAGCTTGCCAATGCAGTTAACTGTTACAGTACTTTAGAACTACCCCAGTAGTGAGCACCTGGAAAGATTCTCATCTTTTGTAACATCCCCCAAAAGATGCATATAGTTAATATCAGTATTACTAATCTGCACTGTTAGCTTTAACAGTCTTCTTTGAATAGCTGATCTTTTCCATCTTGCAGCACTAAACCATCACCTGTACTTTCAAAAAAAAAAAAAAATCCCAACTACACACACCTCTTTACCCTCCTCCTGTTTTGCTTATGAAGGGAACGTATCTCCCTTCTTTCCCTCACATCAAAGCATATTTAGGCCCAAAAAACTGTTATTCTATTACCTAATTTGTTTTCTTTTAGGCGTTAAAAAATCTGTCTTACTGTCTTTTGTGTTTTATTTAAATAAATAGAAGTGCCAGTGATTTTTTTTATATATAGAAAGTGTGAATCTATGCATTTTCTATTTTGCTGAGCAATTAAAAATTAGAACAGAACACACGATAACTTTATCACTAAATTATGGCAGCTTTATAAAAGGAAGTAATATACAAAAATTCTTTAAAAAGCACAATTCACATCCACTGTCAATATATTTGGGTTTTGTTTTGAAGGAAACAAAAGACTTATCTCACTTGATGCTAAACACAAATATTCTAAGAATCTATTTAGGAACACAGGCCTTTGTGCTCTGTAAACATCAGGAATCAAATCCTTTTCTCTACATGTTCTCCTTACATCTCCTTTTAGCAATCTGATACATTTTAGTATAGCCCATTTTCAGAAAAGGAAAAGAGGTAGGAAGGCAGAGAGGAAATGTTTCCTTCCGCATTCGAGCAAATTATCCATAGCAACATGCAGCATAACAGTTTTTAATTCTGCCCAACATGAATTTCCATAAAAGCAACATTCAGTCAGCAAATTTTTGGCTCTCTACAGATGCCGTCATCCACTGCAAGAGCCATTATTCACCAATTCTATTCAGTATTTTTGATCACTGCATGCAAATGTGGTAAAAGAAATCTAATCTACCTCC